AGAATAGAAAGAGATGAACTTTCCACATCTAATGATTGCCATAAGGCATATGGTAATGATATCTCTTCCTAACATTGTACAGTTTTGCTATTCTTTCATATAATTTCTGCTTAGCACAGAAGAAATGAACTGGTTAATGTTACAAGAAATAATCATAGAAATCTTTTATACTTAATAGACAAGAAACAAGATTACAGAAAACATAAACCGAGTTACTCAGCGAGTAAGATCATTTACTAATTAAATTATTAGCAAATTAATGAGAAAAAATGAAATTATATTTATCATTTTACTTATATTTTTCTCGGAATTAAACTATATATATATATATAATCATTCATCAATTATCACTTAAAAAGTGTTTATATAAAAACATTTTTTAAATGATAATTATAGTAGATTATATGAGATTTGTATAAGTTAAAATGGCCTAAGAACATTGCTATTTTTCTCAACTTGACTGATGGAAATTTAATTAGATTCTAAGAAAATTAAACAAGAGTAAGGTTGGAAAAAAACGTGTTAAAATGCATTAAATCATTAATTAATTGTAGTTTGAAAGAAAAAAAAAACCCTTGATGTAACAGAGCTAGAGTGAGATATACATACATACATATACCTACAATGATCAGTGCAAAAATAATTAAGAATTAAAAAAATTTAATATAAAATAATTATTAATCTTATACGACGTTTAATTAAACATTTAATTAATTTAATTTCGTATGTTTTTACATAGGGAAAAAAAATTTATATATTTATATAATTTATATGTATAAAAATAATATTTAATTTTATATTTTCGACATTATGGATGGGATATAAAACTATTCATTAGTTTGTTGAAAGATTTTAAGTTAAAGTAAAACATTAAGTGTGAGTTGAATTTATTCACTTGATTGATTATCGTGTTATCCTTTATATCACAACAGAGAGATGATTACATTTTTGTAAAGAACTCAATAATGATTATAAAAGTAGTTTAGTATCAGGTCGTTTGATTACCCTGGATCTATGTAATAGCAATTTGTGGTATCTGTCAGCTCTATTATCTCTCATTCTTCAAACTAATGTTGCTTTTATTGTGTTGTTTGCTGGCTGCTAAACTATCGATTTTCAAACTTGTGTTAATGAGAAATGCTTCGATGATACTGAATCGATACGTAATTTTCCCCCACCCCAGTTTAAATACCTACCTTTTGTGCATTTTTAATTTGTATAAAATGTATTATTTTATGTTAAAAAATTAAATCAATATTTCACAAAAGTTTGCCATCTTTTTTTTAATCGATTTTACATATTTTATAAAAAGATTTAATTATCCATAAACTCTAAATATATTGTTATTTCCTCATTAAACAACGAATAAATAAATAAATAAATAAACAGGAATAAAAAAGTTTTAATGCAAATCTGCATTCCGAGCATTTTATCTAACTATTCAAATATTAATTCGTAACTTTTGTAAGGTAATTTCATTAATTGAAACGAATTCCAATTAAGAATAACTTGCTACAGATAAAGAATTATTTCCTGTTTTCTTTATTCTTTAACGAAAACAATCATGATCCTCATCCTTCCTGAAAGAATCATAGAAAAGATATAAGTAATCTCATCTATCAGTTATCAGAATAGAAAGAGATGAACTTTCCACATCTAATGATTGCCATAAGGCATATGGTAATGATATCTCTTCCTAACATTGTACAGTTTTGCTATTCTTTCATATAATTTCTGCTTAGCACAGAAGAAATGAACTGGTTAATGTTACAAGAAATAATCATAGAAATCTTTTATACTTAATAGACAAGAAACAAGATTACAGAAAACATAAACCGAGTTACTCAGCGAGTAAGATCATTTACTAATTAAATTATTAGCAAATTAATGAGAAAAAATGAAATTATATTTATCATTTTACTTATATTTTTCTCGGAATTAAACTATATATATATATATATAATCATTCATCAATTATCACTTAAAAAGTGTTTATATAAAAACATTTTTTAAATGATAATTATAGTAGATTATATGAGATTTGTATAAGTTAAAATGGCCTAAGAACATTGCTATTTTTCTCAACTTGACTGATGGAAATTTAATTAGATTCTAAGAAAATTAAACAAGAGTAAGGTTGGAAAAAAACGTGTTAAAATGCATTAAATCATTAATTAATTGTAGTTTGAAAGAAAAAAAAAACCCTTGATGTAACAGAGCTAGAGTGAGATATACATACATACATATACCTACAATGATCAGTGCAAAAATAATTAAGAATTAAAAAAATTTAATATAAAATAATTATTAATCTTATACGACGTTTAATTAAACATTTAATTAATTTAATTTCGTATGTTTTTACATAGGGAAAAAAAATTTATATATTTATATAATTTATATGTATAAAAATAATATTTAATTTTATATTTTCGACATTATGGATGGGATATAAAACTATTCATTAGTTTGTTGAAAGATTTTAAGTTAAAGTAAAACATTAAGTGTGAGTTGAATTTATTCACTTGATTGATTATCGTGTTATCCTTTATATCACAACAGAGAGATGATTACATTTTTGTAAAGAACTCAATAATGATTATAAAAGTAGTTTAGTATCAGGTCGTTTGATTACCCTGGATCTATGTAATAGCAATTTGTGGTATCTGTCAGCTCTATTATCTCTCATTCTTCAAACTAATGTTGCTTTTATTGTGTTGTTTGCTGGCTGCTAAACTATCGATTTTCAAACTTGTGTTAATGAGAAATGCTTCGATGATACTGAATCGATACGTAATTTTCCCCCACCCCAGTTTAAATACCTACCTTTTGTGCATTTTTAATTTGTATAAAATGTATTATTTTATGTTAAAAAATTAAATCAATATTTCACAAAAGTTTGCCATCTTTTTTTTAATCGATTTTACATATTTTATAAAAAGATTTAATTATCCACGTTGTTTTAATATTACATAAATTGCATAATCTATTTTTAATTCAGATTTTGATTTATTAAAATTCCTGATCAATATTCTTTTATATCTTTAATTATATAATTTTTTTTTTCCTGGAAAAGTAATCTAGAAACGTGTGTTTAAGATTTACTGTTAAAATTATTATAAATTTACTTGTTTCGAATTAATTTTCTAGGATAAAATCCTCATTTATAACTGAAAATAATGATAAAATAAGCTTTTTTTTTCTATAATAGTAGCATAGAAGTATAATTTTTCTAGTATACTGAATAAATTTTCTATAAAAGCAGTCTTATAATCTAGAAATATAAATTACAAATTTACATCTGCAAAACAAACAATTCATTATTTTTCTAGAATTTTTTATTAATTTTTTATTACGTAATTTATAGACAATGGTGTAACTTACATATTTCTACATTATTATTATTATAGAAAAAGCTATGTAAGTTACGCTATCATTTGTAATTTACGATACAATCTTCTAGAAAAAAAAAAATGATCGAGAATGTGCCATTTACAGCTTCCAACAATGGCGTAATTTACACATTTCTAGATTATTTTCTAGATAAATTATTGTTCTAGAAATTAAAATATAGAATAAACATTAAAGTACAGTTACAATTGTAAATGCAATCAATAATACAAATGTAAGAGTTTATAAATTTTTTTGAAACTTTAAGAAATTAATTAACCGAGTTAAAATTTAATTACTGCAATATTCACTTATGTGTAATATTAAGAAAATCTGAAAGAATTTAAACAGATTTTACAAAGAAAATATTGTAGAATAGAATTTAATTTGTCAACGATTCGTTGATACGTAGTACTTTAAATGTTTAAGTCATATATATAAATATATATTTCTAAATAAATGCTCAAAAATATTTTTCTTTTCGCTATATTTAAACAAAGTAAAATTAGTACTTTGAAGCATAAACATTAAACAAAGCATTTCATAGTATATTTAAATGTTTGCAAACTCATTTTCTGTAAAGATTCTTCGTTTTTTCCAGCGCATTTATTAAATTTTATTAAAGAAAACAAACTTGTTTTTAGAAAACACGTAAGGCGAACATTTTGTCGAATATCTTTCATATATTTTTTTTTTTCTTCTTTCTTTCCCTCTTTAAAATTCTCTGCTTCTTGCATTGCATTATATATATATATATATATACATTTTTCCCCTTCTTATATTTAGGTTAAAATTCAGGAAAATTTTAAAGAATTTTCCCTTTTTACGTGTCACTAAGTTGTTCTGTAAACTGTTTTTTTTTAAAAAAAAGAATTTCCTATTTATCTAAACAGCAAACAGAATACAAAAACGTTAAATTTAAGTGTAGTGACAGATATAATGGTATGTATATGTATAAAAAGCGTATATAGAATCACGTTTTTTATCGCGTAAGAATTATTTTAATGCTGAAATTTCATGAAAATATTAGATAAATTTCATAAAATTAAAAATAAGATAAGGGAGAAAAGAATTTCTATACTGAATTCGACTTGGTTTTAGTCGATACAACATTGACAATGTCAGATTTTTCTATACTTTCACAAAAACGTGATGTAAATTTGACAAGATATATAAGTCAAACCGTGATCTATCAGAAAACAAATAATGTTTCCACACGAAATAATTTCAGTATAAAAATATTGACTCGCATACTCAGTAGATAAATATTACATTCCTTCTTATTACTTATTCTAAAAATAGAAAATTTCCTTTTTTTACTAAATTAATTCTTCTATCTACTTTATAACTTTACAAATAATTATGTTTAAAACTTCAAATAAAATTTTGTTGAAAAATCTTTCCAATAATTTCATTAAAAAATAAAAAAAATCCTTTGTTAACAAAGGATTTTCTAGTTGATAAGGCATATTTTAAAGGTTCCATAATTGATTATCTGTTTATGATTCTCACAAGCTAAATTTAACTTTTAAAATTACTATAAAAGATATATTTTTAATACTTTCATTAACAAAATAAGATTTAATTGTTAATAAATTTCTAAAATGTACCTTTTTTTTTTTTCTCTCTACCTTCCTCCTTCAGGCCAGGAATTTCTAAATTGGGTATAGATAAAGTTGACAGTTGGTAGGGTGGTCTTTTATCAAATTTTAACTATCCTCGGACTTGTTTAACCTATTAAAAAAAATGAGAAATTAATTGTATAAATCACCTCAAACATAAAAATTTTAATAGGCACTTTATATATATATTTATAATTTAAATCTATTTTAAAATCCTCGTGAGAGATGTTTCTAGAGAAGTGTAACGTTCGAGGACATTTTTGAAGTAAAGAATATTAATTTTTATGTTTAAAAAAAGGCAGAAAATATTGAGGATATCCTTAATAAAAATTTATTAAATATATATAATTTTAAATGAGGAAAATTAATTTTGCTTGACAATCAGTTTTATTGCTTCTTCTACATCACATTCTAACTGCAATGGAGATGAAGTTTCCCTCCTCCCCTCTTATCGTTCTCCAACGTGTGGTTCCTCATCGATTTAGATGCTAAATTTGAATTTAATCATCAATATAAGTTGTCATGTACTTTTTCAGTTGTTTAAAAATCGAGAAGAACAATGTTCTTGATATCTTACATAAAATCTTTCTTCAACCGCTCCTCACAATATATTATTAATGATTTTCTGTTTATCTATAGTTTTTTTATATATGGTATACAAGTCGACCCCCCTATAACACTGTTGATAATTCCGTTTTATATGAATTCCATGTTGTACGAGTCACTTAGATTTTACAAATACGTGTGCCAGGCTGTGAACGGCTCACCTATTAAGTGACTCGTACAACATGGAATTCATATAAAACGGAATAATCAACAGTGTTATAGGGGG